ACGGGTGGGGTGGGCGCAGCGCTACAGGGGTCAGGGGTTCAGGCCCTGCGGGAGCAGGTGTGCTGGCTGCCGTGGACATCACCGCTTGTGACCCAGGACACTGAAGGCTGAAGCGGGTGGACAGAGGGGCCCAGGGAGGGGGAGACGCGCCCATGCGCCCCAGGCTGGATGGGGACAGGGGGTAGATCAGAGGGATGAGAAGAAGGCAGGGTTCTCTGGTGGAATTGGAATTTGCGTTTTAGGATTTCTTTTCTTTTTTCTTTTCCTTTTCTTTTTTTTTCTTTTTTCTTTTTTTTTTCTTTTTCTTTTTTTTTTTTTTGAGACAGTCTCGCTCCGTCGCCCAGGCTGGAGCGCAGTGGCTCAATCTCGGCTCACTCTAACCTCCGCCTCCCGGGTTCAAGCGTTCCTCCTGCCTCAGCCTCCCGAGTAGCTGGGATTTCAGGAGCGCGCCACCACCCCCGGCTAATGTTTATGTTTTTTGTAGAGACGGGGTTTCCCCATATTGGCCAGGATGGTCTCGAACCCTGACCTCGTGATCCACCCACCTGGGGCTCCCAAAGTGCTGGGATTACAAACATGAGTCACCGAGCCTGACCTCTTTTTTTTCTTTCTTTCTTTCGTTCTTTTTTATTATTATTATTATTTATTTTAGACAGGGTCTTGCTCTGTTGGACAGGCTGGGGTGCAGTGGCCTGATGACAACTCACTGCAGCCTGGACCTCCTGGACTCAATCGATCTTCCCACCTCAGCTGCTATAGTAACAGGCTCACCCTACCACACGCATATACAGAGAGTTTCACCATGTTTCCCAGACTGGTCTGGAACTTCTGAGCCTCTCAAAGTGCTGGGATTAGTGGCATGAGCCACTACACCCCTATTTTTTTTTTTTTTTTTTTTTTTTTTTGAGACAGAGTCTTGCTCTGTCACTGAGGCTGGAGTGCAGTGGCACGGTCTCGGCTCACTGCAAGCTCTGCCTCCTGGGTTCACGCCATTCTCCTGCCTCAGCCTCCCGAGTAGCTGGGACTACAGACGCCCACAACCACGCCTGTCTAAGTTTTTGTATTTTTAGTAGAGACGGGGTTTCACTGTGTTAACCAGGATGATCTCCATTTCCTGACCTCGTGATCCACCTGCCTCGGCCTCCCAAAGTGCTGGGATTACAGGCATGAGCCACCGCGCCTGGCCTGCACCCCTAATTTCTTTAAAAACTGTTTTTGTAGAGATGGAGTCTCACTATGTTGCCCAGGCTGGTCTTGAACTCCTAGGCTGAAATCGATCCATCCCCCGAAGTGCTGGGATGACAGGCTTGAGCCACCACACAGGCCCTTTGGTTTAGGATTTGTGTTAGACTGGACCACCTGGGAAAGGGAGGGGTCGCTTGCCTTATTTGGGGTGGGGGTGGGGCCTGTGCTAGGCACCTGTTGGTGTGATTGGCTCTTCAAAATGACCAGACACCCCACCCAAGGGCTGTTCCTCAGGGGGACTGGTCCGCTCCTGGGTAGAAGGCCCAAGCGGGAGCATGAATGAGTTGTGGGGGCCTTTCCCTTACCTGCCAGGGCACAGCCTGGTCTGTCACTTCAGGCAGTCAGGTGTGGTTGAAGCCTGGGGGGAGCTGGGCAGAGACCTGCATCATTGTTGAATGAGTGAAGGCAGATTTGACCCCACGAACATGGAAAACTCTTCTATGTGGAAAACAAAGCATCAGAGGGAAAAATGGTCAAGAGAAAGGGATGTCCGCTGCTTGTGCAGGTCCTGCGGCTCCGTGGGGCTAGTGCTGTGGAAGGTGTTGGCCTTGAGGCCTTTGGTCCTGAGGTGCCTCCTGGAGTCGGATCCTCACTCTCCAGGCTGGAACTGGGTCCTAGGTGCCTCCATTGTACAAATAGGAGGATAACAGCTGTGGAAATAAACAGAGCCCACGCACATGAGAACAAAAGGTCATTTATTCAGGGCTTGCTGTACAAGGGAGTCGCCATCCTCTCTTGTGTTGACCGAGATTCCTCAGCAGGCGGAGGCAGGGCCAGGGAAGAGCCTGGAATGGGAAGGGGAGGCTCAGGTGCACCTAAGGGAGGCTGTGGCCTGGGAGCCGGAAGAGGGGCTCACTAGGAGTGTGACCACGACAGGTCTGTTGCCCAGGGTGTGGGAAGTCAGCACACTGCCACCCAGGGTTTGGAGCAGACAGTTTGGACCACAAGGCTGTAACTGAGAGGAGACCTCAAATCCACCTCCCTGAGGAGTATGGGGCTGGGGACTTGTAGGGGTTTGGAGTGGGCTGAGGGCGGGGGCCGCTGATGGGTGGAGGCGTGCAGGGTGAAGTCATGGGGTGGGGTTGAAGAAGCTGTGTTTTCATGCTGGGTCACTTCCTCTGTGGGGCTCTTCAAGCTGGTTGACCTGGAATTAAGGATCTGAAACATCTTAAGGAGTTCTTAAACAAAAGAACAAAAGTCTCATGATTCTGAAGTCAGCGATTCCATCTGTAGGAACAGTGGGAATGCAGACGGTCACTAGTGCTACGTGACTCTCAGAAGGAAGCGGGCTAAAGTGTAGCCTGACGAACACTCAGTCATCCTTCTCTCCCTGCCTCCCCCCTCCTGCCTCCCCCTCCTTCCCTCTCTCCCTGCTTCCCCCCTCCTTCCCTCTCTCCCT